GCTCGTCCCATGCGGCAGAAAAATGGAAAAAGGACGCCGTCGTGAATGTTTTGATACAGGAAACCCTTCAATCACTAGCCGGTTAAAGCTCGCCACTTTCTTACAACCTGAGAGCCACAGCAAGACAAGCAATTTACAGGATTTATACAACATCTTTTAGGGGAACCACAATAACGACAAACAAATACATAAAAATACCGACTTGCGTGTGCGCCGGACTTTCGTCGTTTTGCTGCCATTGCAAGAACAGCTTCTGCTGCTGTAGTAACAATTCATAGTTGTTTTGTTCGGAAGTTTTTGTCGTCTGAAAGCACTCTACAAATTAGAAGATAGTTGAAAAAAATAGCAACATGAGAAATTCAGCGCTACAAAGCTCTTTCTGGGATGCGCCACGCATTCTACTTCCATTCAGAATCGCGAAAGCATTTGCACACAGTTTTGCGAGTGGTTTGCGGATGAGAACCAGTGTTTTCATTTCCTCGGATGAGTCAATTGTGGTAACAATTCGCAGAGCCGGAAGGGGAAGAGGGCGCGTCGGGATTCGAACTCCGAGCTGTGCGGTGGTAAGAAGTACCCATGAGTCACCTCCACTTCAACATTCTTATCATAGTATTCGTACGATATCAATCCAGCGTTACTACAAGAGAATTTCATCGGCTATTTGGCCGTGATCACTGACCGCCAAAAGAAGATTGTTAATTAACAAATAGTTCTCCTGGTTGGTAGATGGAGCAATCCCAAACCAGTTATGCCAAAAGTACCATTTATGACAGGGTTTTAATCAAACGTAGGGATATATTGAAGAATGATGATAATTTATTGTCAGATGTCGAACAAAGAATAACAGAGTGGTAAAAACAAGTCTCCAATGAGCAACAAAAAAATTAAACTAATGGGGACGAGGGCCGAAGGTACGTGAAGAGGAAGTGGAAGTCGGTTCAGAAGGGCAGTGGCCGCCAACACTGCAAGCTCATACAAGGAGGGCGTAGAACTCCGGATACCGACTTAGTAGGTCCGCCAACCTGCCGAAATCCAACTCCCAGCCTCGTAGAAATCATGAAGAGGAAATTAACAGCATTGACGTGAGATTCAAGTCGTCTAACAAATTATTGGATAGGTAAATACACAAATAGTACACAGAATTTTCTATGAGTCCTAACAAATGTAGAGCGCGTGGCGCATTCCGAGAGGAAAATGAACAGTGAGCTGAGGCTAAACATTCCTATTGAGATATTCAGGTACACTCTACTTAATGAAATAAGTTATTTTGAAGCAAAAAAAGTATCACGGACCTGTTCCGAAGGTGAGCTCACTTCACCGATTACCGTCACCTCATCATCCTCTTTACTATCCGGTGCTTTAGTTTTCGCACGAAGAGGTAACGGATCACATTGCTTGTAGGGAGTCGATTTCTGAATTGGCTAAAAACTGACTGATAAACTAGTAGTAAATAAATAAAAGGTATGGAATGTGAATGAAACATGGACAAATGCCGAGCAAAATACTCCTAATCACAATAAGTGGCACATAAAATCCACTTCACCGACACTTCACCTAGCCATTATAAACAAAACCGTTCCAATTCAGAACAAATATGGCACCAACAAGTTTTCCGCTTAGCAGTAAGCAACTATACTTGACCCCGGATAATGTGTGAACAGACCTTTCGAATCATCCCTTTATTGGAAAGCACATTGATCGGCTTATTCTGGGCACGAATCGCTGCTTGTGAAACTATCTCCATATCTAGAAAATACGGAAAATTATTACTTGTATCAATCACTGAAATAAGTTTCCATATATGTGCAATGTGCTTCACGGAATATTAATGACTTGATGAACGATGTTAAGTCCACCTGTTACACGCGACGCGGTTTGCGTTGCGATTTTTTGGAGCAATAATGAACTCACAAACAGGCTCAGCAAACATGAAGTTTTTCTTTACTAAGATATGGTGAATAAACTGAATAAAACCACCGAAGGCCTATTAGGATGAATATCAACTATGTTCAAAGATACTACAAGCTTTCAATTTATTGCTGTATTGCATTGTATAATACAGGAAGAAATTGACCTAGTTCATATCTCTATTTACTTATGCTGTACCAATACATTTCTTTTGTATTTTGTAGGAGTGGGGTTCAGAGAATAGTCTAGTGCTATTTTTATTCACCATTTTTGGAGGGCATGCCTTGCATCTCACTAATGTGGGCTGAGAAACCTATAAAAAGTTCCACAAGCTAAGCGGAGGTATCACAAACAAAATTCAGGAGCCACAGAAAAGAAGCGATGGAATGCAACAGTTCAAAGTCCCACGTCTGAGACAACCTTTAAGCCGCCGTGGTGGAATCTGGGCCGTTTTCCTTTTTTCTCTCCCATGTTTTCTGAACGTAACAGCTACATATTAGCTCGTCAATCTTATAAAGACACTCTTTAGACCTCATGTCGCATTAATCTGGCCAAATGTTGCATGGTTTCAGATTCATATGCAGTTTCTGACGAAGTTTCATTCTAATTAAAGACGGCTTAGCGTCACAAAATTCGTCACAGATCCTTTGCGCTGCTTTCATTTTTGAGCACTCTTCGAGCCAAGGTCCACAAACCTTCAAATTTTCAACGAGGGGACCAAGGTTTGAAGGTTGTTAAAGAGCGTAATGGCGAAAAGGAAAGTGTACTCTGAGAGAGTAGACTTCGCTGTTCCAACGATTATATTTTTCCCACGGCAATTTTGAAAGAACATAGGGATGAAGTTGAGATGTGTTATTAGGCGGCAGAAGTAGTCAATCGTGTGGTGATCCCCTAGACAAAGAGAGGTTTTCCCAAGTTTTCACCAACGTTACGATTGACCTCGCTCCGAGCAATTCCCCCCTCCCCGGGCTTTCAAAATCTCCCCCATTTATTGAGTTCTTGCGAGCTCTTTTCAAATGCATATTCCATGCTTCTGCCACGAATTTTGTAAATGAAAGCTTCACTGCGGCCTTTCGACTTTCACGTCGTAGTCAATGGCCTAATATGGACCATCGCTCAAGAATAGCTCACTATCGTACCAAACGCCTTATCATTTCTAGCGCTTCTGGCGTCATCTCAGGAGCGCAAGGAAAATATCCAGAACGTTTCACAAGTATGCTGGGTTGTGAACAAAACTTTCGCCCAGGCGGGACCTCTCGAGAGGTGCGGGTTCTAGTCCCGCCTGGGGCGAAAGTTTTGTTCACAACCCAGCATTCTTGTGAAACATTCGCAAGGCGAACTGCGGCCAAAAACAGTTAACAAACAAAAACAAGTCAAAATACCCAGAACCTTTAAAATAGCTCGCCTCAGGTTCAACCACTGAGTTTACAGCTATACTTATTTATTACTTTCGAAAATTTTTGAACTCGATTGTTCATGTTACTAATGAAGACAATTTCGGTAAGAGAGTCATGTTCTTCACACCAGACGTCTACCATTGATGTGTGAAAAAATTGACTTCAACTATGAGGTTATGGTATTCTCAGAGGAACTCGCATACTTTGATTGGCGAGCTTTCATGCAAACCCTGACTAAAGAGCGATTACATACAGGCAATACAGCGAATCAGTGACACAGCTTTTGCCTCCGATTTGCCTCTGTGCACCTCCATGATCTTCTCCTTTTCTCCCCTCACCCCTCTTTCTGCGCTTTTGTATCAATTTACTTAAGATATATCAAAATCAAGCTGGATCAATGCGTAAAATGCTCCCCAAAGTCAGTATACCTCGACGTAGCAGACATGTTCAGCGTGAGATCAGCTCCGTAGCCGGTACAGCTGTTCAATCACACATACGCCGAGGATGTGCCCAGTTTCACACACTATTCCCGTCAACTTTTGTCCAACATAACAAAAAATAGATAAGAAAAATCGCACACATACCTGTCGATAATGGACTTGGCATCTCGCACTCTTCCTCCTCAACGTGATCGCTGGTCGGCTGGAACAGTACACGACCTTCTGAAAATATCAAATTAGATACGAATGATGAATAGCTAGACTTTTAGTTCATCAATTTAATGTACCATAACTCTAAAGTAAAAAACAAGAACTATTTGGGCAACAAGGAACATCTAAAAGCTGTTATAGTATTTACACAGAGTAGAATTTTTTGACATGTATTCTTTTAGTTCTTAACTATTAATTTACTTGCTGGACGTGCAGGTGCGCTAAATAAGGAGCTATCGCAATATACAGGGGCAGAGAGACGAGACGCTTCCAACCTTTCTTGAAGTGGTAGAGCATATGTGGCGAATATGAAGATGATTTTCGATAAGCATTTCTGTTAATGAAAGAGAGAAGAATATTTCCATGAAAAATAATAAACAAAACGCCAATCTTTTCGAAAAAAAGAAGACGCGAAAAAATCCGAAATAATTATGCATCAACCAAATAAATCTTAACGCATAAGGAAAAGGAGCTACCATACGGATGGAAAAGAAATTAATTTTTTGATCAATCAGACAAATTGCTCAGTAGATTACTCTTTTTCAGCTTTGATGACTCTACTTAGGCGAATAGCGCTATGGATAACGTCACTCCTAAACATCATTTGTACCATTAGGATCATTTCAT